GGATACCAACATCAGCACTGTGAGCTTCACATTCAACAAAAATGTCAAGGTCGTCCACAGAGTTCTTGGGCTCTCTGGCTCGCCGGGTTTCAAAGTGATAGATTTGAGTTTCAAACATCTGCAAGAGCCAAGTGTTGGTATGATGAAGCTTCTCCAAAGACTGAAAATCCAGGTAAGTCTACATACATTTCTACAACGTCTTTAAAAGGTGACTAAAAGAGGGATTAACTAGAAGAACATGTTAGGCAATGAAGTCCAATAACATCTGGTTTACAAAGAGCTAAAATACAGACAGAGCTAAAGATTAAACACTATAGCACTGGGGAGAGAAAGAAAGTGATGAAAGATGAGATACTGTTGACTGTAGAATTTCATCTGTGCAGAAATAGCAAATGAGTGGCAGGGTAACTTAAAGCCCTGCCAGAATGAAAGCAGATCTATTGATGCATAATAGCACCATAATCATAAAATAATGGTGAGAAATAAGTAACAGGCACAATACTTTTATTTGGAGTTATTCATTTTCCCAGATAAGAGTGAGCACCTGGTAGGGGTAGTTCAAGTGTCCAGACTACATAATGCCCGTGTGGTTCACAGCTCTCATAGCCTTTGTATCTCCTGCCAAATATGCAGAGAAAATTCACTGGCTTCTAACATCCCCACAGTCTGAGTGCTTGAAAGGCTGGCCACCACAACTGCTAGCAAGAAACAGCTGATTGGTATCTGCTCTAAACAGTCCTTGCGTGAAATGGTGACTCTTCTAAAAGACTGTGCCCAGGTGCTCCCCCCTCCAGAGCCCTCTCCCTCTCCTCCGTGAGACCAGATCCCCTCTCTGAGCAGCTGGGACAAAACCAGGATGGGGGAAAGGGGGAAGGCAGAATGAGGTGTAAGGCAGGCAGGAGCAGGAGAAGGGTGAGAGGGGGAGAGATGTGAGACATGAAGGCAGTAGAGACAGAAGAGAGGCTCAGCAAAGAAGGGAATATTGAGGTCTGTACCTCAAAGACTTTGGCTGCCTTGGAGAGCTCAGTCTTCCTCACGTTGTAGAGTGTGAGGGTCAGGATGAGAGATGCTCTGTCATCCTCCCTGTTGGAGTCCAGGCTGCCTTGGCTGTCCAGTGACTGTATGCCACACATCTCCTTCTCCTTGCTGGCCTCTTCTTTTGGGCCTGACATCCCCACCAGATCAGTCTTCATTGGGAGATAGGGGAGTGGATTGCAGCAGCCAGATACTGAGTGGAAACTGCCTGGGGGCGTGGGGGCAATGGCCAGGGGAATTGGTGGGACTGCAGAAGCAGTGTGTCAGTGTGTGGTGAGCTCACAGGTGCCAGGAGCAGGGACACGGGCTGGCTGCTGGGTGTAGGGACATTTATGGTGGCCGTGCCAGGCACATCAAGGGAAGCCGCCTGCGTAGGATGTGCGCAAGAGCCAAGATGGCCCTCCTCCCCTGGGGACTTCAAAGTGCAGTCCTCCTTCTCTGTTTGAAGGTGTCTGCAAGATGTTCAGCCCTGGATAGGGCTTCCTTTGTGGAGAGGCAATCGATTAGCCTGAGGTCCATTTACATCTCCCGGTCTGGACTGACCTGCACAGAGCCTGGGACTGTCCTTCATCCCCACTCTGTCTCACCTCACTGAGACTCTCTCTGTGTTTTCTGCATCCCCAGTGAACCAATGGGCTTTTTTCCCAAATCACAGCCCATTCTGTGTTGTCTCCTCTGCACAGACACAGATCTGAGAGTGCCAGAGAGACTCCAACCAGAGTCAGAATCCATTGCCTGTTTCTGAGCTTTTCCTTCCCACAGAATCTGAACCTGTTCTATCCTACCCCTCCAAGAGCAGAGTGCTGCCCCCAGGCTACATTCCTCCCTTGGAACCTGTTTCTGTCACCATTTTATCTCCAGTGAAATAGGCTCTCAAAAAGACCAGGGTCACATCTTTCTTTTGAATGGCAGGTATAAAAAGATACTGAGATAAAAAAGGTTACTTCAAAGTTCCAGGGGGATTTAGCTCGGTTTCTGACAGGGCAGACACATCTTCCCTTCCATTACACTTGACATGAAAAGAATTATTTCGGGATATGAGCGCCCATATCTTCACACCTCAAGTTACAGTGTGGCAGAGCCCCTGTGAAGGTCATCCCGCAGGTCCAGAGATCTGGACCTTCTCCTGTACCAAACCTTGCCACCCCTCTGGCCTCCCTTTGCAGCAGTGGTGGCAAGGTTTGGTCCAGGAGAAGGCCACATCTGATCACCACAAACAATCTGCCCTTTTTTTTATCTCATACCATTTCAGGTATCTTTATCCTGTATGAGCAGAGGGCCAGTCATTTGAGATGGATGCAGCATTAATATTTTTAGTTCATTTAGGTTAATTTAGGTGGTTACATCTGGACATCAAAATGTCTTTGAGAGCAGCCAGCATAGTCTGAAGTAGCAGAGGGAGTTTTAAAAACAATGCATTCCTGTGGGCTGCTCCTGTGCTTAATCCCTTTTTCAACAATTTCTGCATTTTTTGCGGACTAAAATGTCCCTTTTCCAAGACTGCTGTCAGATGTAGGCATCTTAAGGTACCCAGAGGAGTCCCCCAGTGCAGACTGGTGTCCCTCCATCACAGCCATTGACCTGGGCCGAGGTCACTGTGAAGGAAAGGGCCTCACAAAAAGCTTCTTTATGCACCTGGAACTGAGCTGGGGATGAGGACACCAAGAAATGTGATCACAGTGGGATAGAAGTGAGGAAGGTTACCTAAAAGATTAGCTTGGGGTAGATTAGTCAGAGTAGTACCAAAGACTTTGGAGTATGCAAATGTAGAGGAATCTTGGCTTGGTTGTGCATTTCTAAGTAATGGCACACATCAGGAAATCCCATAATCTTGGCTGGATGAGTGACTGTCAACCAGCCCAGGAGAGCCTTTTCCTGCTCTGGGGAGCACCTCAGATGGGCATTACCTCCTACCTGAGTATTTAATTCTGGTTGATTTGGATGCTTACCATACAAGGAGGATTTACACCAGTCTGATAATGCAAAAAGCATTTCCTACACAGCTGGAACTTTCTTTAGGCATGGAAATAAGAAGTCACCCACTAAGGAGTACTATTTAAAATGTGATTTATTTGTAGTATTTAAAGTACTTAGGTACAAGATTATTTGTTCTACAAGAAAATCTACTTTCCATACATTTCCTCTGCTTTTAAAATGCTGAACATTTAATTTTTGCTCATCTCTTGCTGAGCAGCCATGCTATGATGCTTTGGCTGGAGCTATTGCTCATTTAAACCTGTATTAAGGCACAGCGAATCAGACATGTGACATCAATATTCTCTAACTATTCCACTTGTACTTAAAAGAAGAACATGAATCCTGAGCTCTCAATATCACTATAGAACTACTGCTGCTGTCATTCAAGCCAGAAGCAGAGGAGCTTGGAAAGCTGTCTGAGGATTAGTTTGAAAGACTTTCCCCTTGGGATGAAATTGCCTCTTTGTAGTATACAGTTACCTCATGGGTCCTATTATATTAAGAGAGAAAAATATGGGCTACTTTCACACTGAAAATACATGTCAAGTGGGATTGAAAGATCTAGAGAGACATTGTGATGAGGAAAAAAGGAATAAAAAGATACTGAGATAAAAAAGGTTACTTCAAAGCACCAAAATTATACCATTTTGCATAAATATATGTCTATTGAAAAGGATTCCAGCTGGTGTCCTTAAATTAATGTTATTACCTACCATATACATAATGAAAATAACTGTATTTTCTATCTTCCTAAAGGATGATGCTTACATGAAAGCCATATTGATTTTCAAACTATAAATGCAAAATTAGTACTATCACAGGTATGAGACTCGTGGGCTTTCAAATCCCTCTCCATCTTTCAATCTTCTGACAGAAATGTGACCCCTGAGCCATGTTAGTGTCATGATGCACAATTGCTTCAAGCTGGAAATGCAGTTCAGCTTTGCCTTGCTCCATTCTGCTCCAATGTTCCAATGATGAGTTCCCTCCTCCAACCAGGGAGCTACAAGAATTATACAGTGTGGACCAGTCCAAGAGGGCACTTAATGCTGATTGAGTGAAATTTATTGGATAAATACAGAAAGAGCTTCCTGAACAGCAAAACTCTTCTCTCTCCACGCTCAGCTGTTGAGTTAAACTGGAGCCACCTTTGGTTCCATTTGCTGGCACAGTTGAGATACACTCCAGGACAATTAAAACTGCTTTCACCAAAAGAAAAAAAGGAGATTAAAGCTCAGATGGGCAGTGGAGATACAAAAAGGTGTCATTATTTAGGACTTGTCTTGAAAGATAACATGTTTGGGTTTGAAGGCAATTAGACTGGGGTAAAGCTGACCCAGGCCTTCCATGGCTTTGTGGGGACTCTAGCCATGGACACAGTGGGTTAGGAGTTGGAAGGCTCCAGGCTGCATTATAAAAGGCACTTCCTCTCCATTTCCAGGTGCTGGTACCCACCTTCTAGGCTGTGAGACCAGAAAGTTAAGAGACACCTCTCAGGGAAGGACACACACAAAACATGTAGCCTTCAAGCCTTCACACATCAGCCATGCACTGTGAGTTTGCCTGTTAAGAGAAATCTCCCCTTGTACCCTGACAGATCTCCCTGCATACCCTGGAAGGTGTAGAGTTCCAGATCCATGGGAACCTTGGACAACTGGGAGGCACTGAGTGGAGAGTGACTGTGAGAGAAGGCAAGGTGGATCACTCTGGTCATCACTGACACCCCATCCCTGGTCCCAGACCTCACAGATGCAGCAGATTATGCTCTGCATGGTGAAGATCTCCTTCTGCTAACCTTTGGCACAAAACATATGCAGACTTCCCCCAGGTTCCCAGGAGTAACGTAATTTTTTAATACACTAGTGAAAAAAAAAATGGATTGGTGTCTGAAGGCCAGAAGAGTTGAGGGTCACCCATAGATGTCTGTTTCTCTGCTAATCTCTAATAATTAAGATATATAACATAATTATTGATGCAGTTCACTGGAAGATAATAGACTGAGGCTAGATCAAGAATGGCAGCTTCTAGTCACAAGCAAGCTACAGCAAATCTTCATTTGATCTTCTGGAGGGCATTGCAAAGGATCCCAATCTCACCTGCAAAGGAAATAATCAGAGCAGTTAAATCCAGAACCAGCCCATTCTAACACTCCTGCGTGTTTTTTTCCCTTTATAGCTGTTCTCTTACAGAACAAGGTGAGCACAGAAGTGTTGAACTGGACATGTTTATTCAGGTTTTACTAGAGCTGAGTCTGCAGAGTCATCCCTTTGCCTTCATCAGCCACAGAAGGCTGGCTCACAGCACCAGAGGAGCTGGGTCTCAGCAGGCTAGCCAATGTGAGGGGGAAAATGTGATCAAAGCCAGGCTTCTCCTTCTCTTCCTTACTGAAAACAGCCAGGATCCACCTCAAGGCCATCTGCCATTTCCTAGCAGCTCCCCCAAATCTGGGTTTTTCACATTTAGCAAGTTACAGTCAAGTGGAAATGCTTGTTAGAGCTTGGCTAGAATTAATTTTTTCATGAGAAAGGAGATATGTGCTGCCTTATCTTGGATAGGCTCAGAGCATAAAACGCAACCAGATGGAATCTGCCTTGTGCTTCCTATTTCTGACCAAGTTTTGAGGAATTCAAGGTAACAAATGTGCAGTTCCTTACTGTTGATCGTGTCAGCTAAGTTCTTCAGCTGCTTTGCATTGTCCAGGACTTCAATCCTCTGTGTGTAGGGATTGTACCGGACAGAGAAAGGACGAGGGATTGTTTGAGCAAATTTCCTGAGGGGAAAAAACATAAACAAATGTACAGTTTAATTTTTATTTTTTCTCTAACTAATTTCTTGGTGTGTGCATTTGTTGATTGTGGGGGATAAGAAAATCCATGGGAAGAAATAACTGAAATTGCTACTGATTGATCTGAGACCTACAACACACTTGAAACTGCATTTGTCCTTATCACCTCTGGGCTTTTTTCTGAACAGAACTAAGCTATTGGCATGACAACACTGCTCCTGGTATAGGCCAACTATGTAGCAACTGGGATCTACCAAGCTTGAAAACCTCATTTTCCTGTCACTAGTGCAAAAGGTAGGAATTCTAATCCAAGTCTGATTTTCTGGGGAATTAAGGTCAAGGATCTACATCATCCTGGCTTGCCAAGGAGCAAGGAGGCACCAAACTTTTGTCATTGTCTAGCTCTTAAATTACCTGGTAGTTTGCAGGTAATTTAAAAGCTAGACTATAGTTATTCGAGTAAAGCAGCATCTTCTTCTGCAAAACAGTTAATTCCATGTCAAAAGCATTGAGATTTTGGTGTCCTGGGAAAATATTAATTTGCATAACCACAGTACTGCAGAAAGAAGGGCTCTGAATGGGATGAGACGGTCAGGGCTATTGTTCCAGGCTCCTTGTGGACCCCAGCAGGATACTGGCTTATAGATCTGCTTTGTATTACTGGAGTTATTGCTGAAAGAGGAAGGGAAGCACGCAGGAGTTGATTATGGAGCCCCACTACACAGACTGTGACTCAGCAGGGTAAATCCCACACGCCCAGAACAGTGGAATATGCTGGATGCCACCCTCACAGAGCTTCTTCAGTTTAAGCCTTATTATTAACCTTATTAAGGACATTGTCTCAAGCAGGACCCAGTATGAACAGGCCACAAGGTGTGGCAGTGAAAAAATGTTATGATGAATTGGACATGATGAATACCCAAAAACATTGGTTATGATGAACTTAGCAGCATTGGTCTAGTTTTTCTAAGAGGAGAGATCACATTAGAAGATGGCTTTTCTAAATCTTAGGTGAAGGTAAAATGTCAATTAGAAGATGAATGCCTTAAGCTGAGATCTTTTAGGTCAGTCTCAGAATAATTTCTCAGAAAGGTATTCTATTACTCACAAACACACATGTCCATGTGCAAGCCTCTAACACAGGCACTGGACCAAACCCCAGAACTTCTATTTCAATTTAACCCCTTTTTTCAATTTGGTCACTGAAGCAAATAAAAAAAGCTCCAAGGTATTTTGTTGCAGCATTTCCCACTTCCTCAAGGAGCTTGCTGGTCAGGGGTATATACAGAGAAGACAGAAGCTGTGTGCAGGATATCAATAGCACAGCCCAGAAGAGAAGAGCATCTTTCCCAGGTATTTCCCCAGAGAAAAGGGCACAAAGAAAAGCTGCAGATTTATGGCAACTAAGGAAGCAGCAGGGCAGAGAGCTAGGAACACCTTAGAGCTGAGGAGTCTGAGGCAGGAGAATATCTTGGGATGTAGAATAATTTATCTTTGAATGGTAGAAGGACAAGGGACTGCAGGTCTGGGACAAGCCTGTGTGTGGCATCTCCAAGTGAGAAATAAGCTGAGCGTGAACCAAGGCAAACCCCCAGTGGCTAGTAATGGTGAAGTTACTTGGTTTGCATTAATTAGTCAGATTTGATTTTAAATGTTAGTATCACTGCAATTGAACAAATAACTTTCTTTGTTGCATTTTGGTTGGACAGATGAAGCTCTTAGTTACACTAAGCACAAATTCTTGGTTTCATGCATAAAGCATATTCCTGTTACTACTCATTTTTGCCCAAGATTCTGAGGATATAAAATGTTTATTATCATGAAGCGTTGCACTGATTTTTCTAATGCCTCTCAAAACATGATTGGCAACCCAAGACCCATTATGGCAATGAGATCCTCTGTATTTGCAGCAGGCAAGAGTGAGTTCTTCTCTGGAATGACTGGAGTACCTTAGCTTTTCTTTTGCATCTTTAAAACTTTCAGCAACGTAGTAGATGGGCTGGAACTCAGTAACAGAGTACTCCTGCACAGAAGTCTTCTCCAGGGCAAGAGGCCGAATCTCAGGCTTATCTGACAAACAATACTATGAACAAAAAGGTAAGAAATTAATTTCAGTGTAAGAGTGCTTGAACATGCTGTGAAAGAAATCAAGAGCACCTCCATTTCAGACAGGGAAGAGTTTCTCCTGTGGGATACAGTGATAATGTCACTTACTGGGAAAGAAGGAGCTGTGAGTTCCCTGTGTATCCATACACCTACACATTTATCAGAGATCTACAATGAAGTACTACATTTCATCCTACTTCTGTGCACAAATTATGAAGCAAAACCAAAGACCCGAAGATATTCAGAAAAGAAATTTGAATAATTATAAACACATTTGAAATATTTTCTAGAACACACCTGCAGCTCCCCAAATGAAGACAGCAGCCCTGCACCATATGCCTTGAGGGAATCTCCTTCCTTACAAAGTCCAAACTCAACGGTAAACCAATAAACCTGGAAAGAAAATGAGACAGAAACTTATTATTACTAGATAAAAAGTACACCATTTATTTGAATACATTTAGAGTTTTCATTTCTATGTAAGATATGTTGTGTGTCAAATTCAGGTGAATAAATGCAATAAATGTCCCTTCAGACTGAAATTCTTCTCCTAGGAGAGAAGCACAGTACTAGATTCTCTGTGCCTGAGAATCAGTTCAGTTCCATGACAAACAAAGCTGTGTTTTACTGTGCTTATCTTTGTCAGCAGGAGCAATGAAATTATAGCAATAAAGCTTTATTTTGGCTGGCCAACCCAGTGGAAGTTTGAACCTTTATTTTAGAAAAGCTTGAGTCCTGTTTCACACAGGGCATCTGACTGCAGCAGCAGTGTGACCAGGCTGTTGGTGCGATAGGGAAGGAAGGTGGTGAGTGGCCTAATTTGACTCATGAGTCTGTCCTTTTGAAGGGATGCCTGCCCTGGCTCAGAAAAAACTACCCCATCTATCACAAGTGTCAAAGCTGGTGCGATTCTTTGCCCAGGTGCTCCTCATTTGGCACTGGGGGCACTAATCTCAGAGCAACACCCCCAGTTTTATTCAAAGTTTGCAGCTCTGGGTCTCAGTAGTCTCAGAGTAGGTATCCAGGTGATCTGTGTTGAATACAGAAGATAGTGCCTGCCTGGCAAAGTGGAAGAGATGCTTGAAGGTGAAATAACTACAAAAGCTGCCTCTTGAAATTTCCCGTGGGGATGTAGCAACATACAATCTTTTCTTGCCCAATATGTTTGTGCTGGAGGAAATCTCGTTTGGGCTTCTGTGTTTAATCACAACTGTCACTTTGAATAAGGGGTGCCAAAGCTATTTTCCTTTAGTGCAACTGTTTCAGGGTAGGGTTTTCCAATCGTGGTCTTCACTCTGATCCCATTCAGCTCTATGGGAGTTCTATCAGTGACTTCAGTGGCAGCAGAATTAAGACAGCACAGGGAGCTTTGGAAAATTGAGCCCTCATTTATTAAATTACCGTAGCAAGTTTCTCGATGAAATCATCTGGAGCTCCCAGAGATGCCAGTCCAATTTCCTGTAACAATAAACCATTATTCCTCAAGCTGTTTATTGCAAACATTCTTCCTGCCCATCTTATGTAATTGCTCACATTTTAAATGTTACCATTGCCTACTACCACACACAAATGTTTACAGGACATGTTCCTATCATGCAAGATCAATTTTAAACCAGAAATCTCTCCAAAAATGAACAAAGGGTCTTGTCCAAATGTCATTTACAAGGCATGATCCTTTGTGCCTGGTACAAAGCCCATTGAGGTCAAATAAAATTTTCCTCTTGCTTTGACAGGCTTTTGATCAAGCCTACAATGAACATCTGAGAGAATGATAGGGACAAAAGGAGGCAAATCAATCACACCTACACACCTTATGTATTTCTCTTTGTTTTGATGGGTCCTGATTAAAGGAGTTTTCCTGGAGCCTTGAATGAGCTATTTTTTCTGAATGACAGGGCATGATTTGAAAGAGCTTATTCATACCTTGGGAGCTAATGGAGATTTTTCCAGGAGGCATGCAATAGTTGGATTCAAAAGACAGACCCATGAGACTACATGGTTCCTTTCTTGATTTGCTCTAGTGAGGACTGCATAATGCAGAACTCAGAGGGCTCTCCCCACACACACCAAAGGCATTAGAGCAGTTTATCACCATGTCAAATCCTTGTGAGCCAAGGTACAGGGCTTATCTGGGAGGAAACATCAGTTCTGGGAAAGGGCAAAGCCTAAAGGCAATACTGGAAACTTGCTAACGAGATCAAACTGACTTTTGTCTTTTGAGATGTTACATCAAGCCTTCCTGCCTGCCTTCCTGCCTTCCTTCCTTCCTTCCATCCATCCATCATCTTTTTGCCTTTATGCCTTTCTCTCTGTGCAGTTTCAAGTTTTCTGTTTTCATGCCTTTCTCTCTTTGTGTATTTCCATGTTTTCTGGTAGGATGCAGCCAAAAGTTTACTGCTTCACCAGGGTTTGGCTTCTTTTCCAGAGACATTAACACTCCCAAAAAGAACTCTCCTCTCCAGCCTTCTCCCCTGCTTACAGCTGAGACAGCTCCACACTTCACTCAGCCTCCAATGTCATTTTAACAGAAAACAAAACAAAATCTCCATTTTCTCTAACATTTGAATATCATCATGAGTTAATAATCCATCTGACTCATGAGTTATGTGACTTCACTCAGAAGAATCAACATCTGCAGGAAGGTTTTAAAATGATGGCTTCACAGGGTCTGTCAAAAAGCAACTCACACAAGATCGTGTTTGGAGCTGGACTTTATGTTTTCACCTACGTGAATTTTGTCCAGATTTCAAGCAATAAATAAACCACCTCAGCCACTCTTACACAGTATGATTAAAGGTGAATCTGCACCACCCTTCACAGCTCTTGGATCATCCTCTGAATTACTGTGTGTTTGATTATATACATAATATAACCACTGAATAACTTACCTGGGAAAACTGAGCAAAGCTGGGATCAGCAAAGAGAGGCACATGTCCTAGCAGCTCATGACAAATATCACTGCAGGAAAACATGAATAACTGTGATTCAGGAAAAGTCCAGCAATGCTGGAAGAATGCCCTAGAGCCAGCACACTGTCGAGAGCACAGTGCATTTGCTCCTACCAGCAGATATCATTCATAGGAAAACATTTTGCTCTGAAATTATTCTTGTGGTGGAAATGCTTGCAAACACCAGGGTTTTCTGTGCTTTTGCATCATACATCCCTCAGCAGCAGGGACTGTTAGATTTTTCAAATACAGACAAGTGATTTGGTGAGATGGGAAGGGGATAAGATGTCCAAAAAAGAAATAAAGGAAGAAAAAAGACATTTCAGCCTGACAATGGGGTAAACAGAAGCAGGAAAGAAAATCAGAATAATCAAAAAATGATAAAAGAAAGGAAAAAGAGTTTGTGGAAAGCAGGAAGCAAAAAAACCAAGAATTGCAACAATATGAAGCAGAATAACAAATCTGTTTTTAAAATGGCAAGTGCAAAAGGACAGCGGATAGGTGTAGGAGCGTCGGGGGCATAGGACGGTCGGGATGGATGGAGACCAGAGATCTCTGAAGCCAGGTTGTGGAATTTGGGGTTTATTGCAGAGGGCCTGGGTGCAGGGCCCTGCTGGGAGCTGCCAGCCACAGCTCGGAGCAGGCCCGAGAGAAGAGAGGGGTAGAGAGGATTAGGGGGAAAGAGAGTAAGAGTGTAAGGGAGTAAAAAGGTAAAAGAGTAAAAGGGTAAGAGAGTGAGGTTCCTGTTACAATACAATAAATCTTCTATGTTGAATACTCTAATTCTCACTAACCAATCCAGTACAACATCCTATAGCCTATAAGAATCTTTACATTACCATACTATGTTACATTTTAAACCCTAAAAACTACTCTTGGGACCCCTTCTGCCAAGCTAGTAGGGTCTGCTCTGACCCTTGGGCCTGTCTGCAGGCAGAGGGTGTTGTTTCATCAAAAGGGGATTACCTTCAGTCCAGTCACACAATTGTTTTCTAGTTGTTCAGTAACTAAGGAATCTCAAAGCTTGCTTATGATTTCCATATTCTCAAAATATGGAAATCTCGCTTATGATTTCCATATTCTCAAAATTTTTTGCCAGACAATCATAGTTACACGGCTTTCCTCTTTCATCTTCCCCAACAGATAGGGACAGAGAGAAACACTCCAAAATTAAAAAGAGATGGGTTCTGAGTTTCTGAGGAGTCTGGGCTTCTCCTGTCTTACTGCCAGAAGCTTGCTTGCAGCGGGTTATGTCCTTGCTGCACTACTTGGGTGCTAATAGCTAAGTGCCCTTGCACACTCTTGCATCCCAGCCACCACACAAGCAAAACTCTCTCATGCGCCCCAGGAGAACTTGCAGAAGTGGATGCAGACTGTTAAACACACTAGAAAGTCTCCATAAACGTTTCCAGAAGAGAGCAGTCCCTTGGCCGCTCTCCCTTAGCCCTGTTCCCAGGAGTCCCAGGCAGCTTTCCCAGCTGGTCTGAGCCTGCTGGTGGTGTGCAGCAGCCTGACACCCTCGGTGTGGCGGGGTACTCACGGCTCCGGGGTGTACATGGGCTTGGAGGCGTGGCGGATGTACTGCGTGGAGTGGAACACGCGGAACGCCAGCCCCGCCAGGAAATCCCGGGAGGAGAGCAAGCCGGCCACGGGACGCAGCCGAAACCCAGTGCAGCCTGAAGGGACAGACAGACAGCACCTTAAAAACTGCTGTGTGTTTGATCTGTCCCCATCCAGACGCCTTATAAAAGTTTTTTAATGGCTGTTGTTTTGGTTTTTTCTTTAATCTCCTTGTTATAGGGGATGATTGGCTCTCACAATTAAAAGATAACTATTGTGTGAATATTAAGAAAAGCTTTAGTGCTGTACAGTTATGTTATTGTAGTTTAGATGTCCTCTGTTCTCCCCACAGTTCCCTTTCCCCCTGTATTGTTGCCATCACACAGCCTGGGCTGTCCAGGACAGGTACAAAGAAGCTGCACAGGTGTCCCTGGCATGGGGCAGTGGGGAATGGAAAAGCTTGGGGGTGCTCAGGGGGGCAGCATGGCAGCACCTGACCTCCAATCCAGTGACAAGAAAGCATCTCCACTGATAAATGGCAAAGAAGGGCTGACTGACAGACTTTGGGAGGGGCCAGGGCTGGCTGATGGAACCCCAGGGGTTTAAAAGACTGAGCATCCCTCTTGAAGATGAACCGGCCACATGTCATGCACATGAGTGGTTCCCAGCACTGCGATTTTTTCCTTATGTAGTCCTTTTGTTGTATTCTTGTTAAGTTTTAATTAACCTTTTTAAATTTTCAAAGTGAGCAGTTGTTTCTCATGTCCTTATGTTAAATAGAGTTTAATTGCAGGCAATTTTCTGCCCAGGAATACCACCAGCACAGTATCTGAGCATTTGTCCCATTGTATCCCCAGAAGCATTAGAGAAAGACCTGGGACACAGGCTAAGTGATGTGCCCAAACATCTTAGGGAACCTTTGCTAAATCAGGGACTGTTTATCCCTCTCTGGAAGCACCACCCCCACTGATAGCTGAGGCCCTTCATTTCATTTTGTTCTTTTAGAGGTTTCAAACTTACTCTGCAAGAAATTTGAAACATCTTCAAGCTGGGGAATGTTGTCCTCCCTGTAGCCACAGTACTTCTCCAGCAGTGGGAACACGTGGTTGTGTTCATAGCAAGCATGAGTTGGATACAGACTCTTCAGCTCCCTGAAGACAGTGCCCCAAGTTTTCTTTTCTTCTTCCGTATAGGTGACACGAGGAATAGGTTGGCCACTAGAAAGAAAATGGATGTCCTCAATAGCATCCACAGAAAATGTCTTATGCCATCAACATGCTATTTGTCCTTTCCCATTTTCAAAACAGTTTTGTTATTCTGCTTCATGTTGCAGCCTTACTAGGACTGGCCAGGAGCTGCTGCTGCAGGGGAGGAGCTGCTTTTGGGTTGATGTGCAAGTGCAAAAGGAACCTCACTTGTCCCTAGGCAGTGTCTGGAAAGGACTCTAATGACCTTGGCTAAGAAAATGGCCTTTAGACAGCTCCTTGCATTATTGTGTTAAAAATAAATCAGTGCTTATTTGTCTTTTAAATGTGTTCTTCTAAAAATACTTGCTTGCTGTTGGTTTCAATTTGTTTTTCCTTTCTTGATATGAAGGAGCTGTTTCGCTTCTTGCTCTAGTGAAGCATTACATTGATGGTTTTTGTAAAAACATGAAACCATCAGCTCCATAAAACTGTTGCAGGAGCAGAGAAATTCTAATCTGTGCTCTGTGCCGTAACAGATGCAGACTCCAGCCAGTTTGACTTTTTATAATTGTAAGGGGCAATTATGAGTTAAATCCCACCCTCAGGCCTGCACGTGCTTAGCTCATGTTGAAGCTAACAGGAGTTATCCATCACAAGCAGTGCAGTTTGGCCTCCTGTGAACAACCAATTCCTTAGCAATAATGTTAAGGCCGTGGGTGAATCCAGCAGCTTGGAAATAATCAAAGGGGTTTAAGTAACTTAATAGGTTTAACAACACTGCTGGAACAATGCTGAAGCTTTCCAAACCCCAGAGACCCATTGTTAAACTCTTGATGACTCCCCACTATCTCCCACTTTCTCTTTTTTTATCTTGAGCCTCAGGGCAGCTCCTCTGGAGAACCATCACCTTCTGTCTCTCTGTATCAGCTCCCCTTGATCTGTGGAGCTTTAAACATCATGTTGAATTATGAGGATTGCCGGGTGATTTTTGTTCCTATAGCACTCCTAAATAATCCTCAACCACCTTCCAGGACTACCTGGGGGAAGCTATGACTTTAAAACCTTTCAAATTTCAATTAAAAAAAAATTCTAGGGATCAATGGGGCCAGAAGCAAAGTAAGGCAGAGCAAAGAGAGAAGCTAAAAGCAAAGAGAAATCAGGGAAATTGGGCATTCAACAAAAACAGTGGGTTAATCTATCATGAGAGGAGGCAAAAAGGAAAAGGCAAAGTAGGGGCAAACAGCACAAAGAAAGGACAGAACAGATGCAAAAGAAGGGATAGAGAAGAGGATTAAATTAATGTTAGGAAGAATACAAGGCAAGCAACCACTGGCCCATCTCACTGTGGCAGCTGTGTAGCACCTTCACAACTTAAGAACCCTTTCCTTTTCAGTGAAGCCTGATAACTTTGGTTATGCCTCTCCTCCCGTCCACTTCTCTGTATCATCTGTGGCATATCTAACAATGGACATTAGATCTGTTCACACCTGGACACAAAACTCTTATCCAAATTTTCTGGCTATAAACTGGCTTTCTGACTTTTTTCACCTGGCATTTTGTACTTTCCATCAACCAGTCCGATTTTGTTTGTCCTTTTGTGATTACATTATTAACTCTTTGGCTCAAGGGCTATCTTGCAAAGATGTTAATTGCAAATTGTAGCCCAAAATTTACAATATATGATAATTTTTCCTTGCAAACACAGTTTTTACCAGTCCCAGGAAGAATCAAGCCCAGTAGTACTGATCTATACACATGAGTGTCTCTGGGAACAGAATTTTTTTCTTCTCCAGATCTGATCATTGAAAGCAATCAAATAAGCTCTAACTGAATTTATCATGTCTATTAATTTATTTTTCTTGGGAAATGAAAGCCTAAATTGCTGATTGCAGCTGGATTAGACATGATAAAAGTAGGGTAACAGACACTGGATTAGCATCAGAACCATATGTTATTCATTATTTTAATAGTGTATGCAGATCCTGCTTTAATGTTAATGATGGGCACTCCTCCCCCAGCCCTGGTTTAATGGGGAATACCAGATTTATTCAATGCTCAGGTCTTTGTAGCAGCAACAGTCTGCTGCTCAATTAGACAACAAAGCTGTGAAAGAGGGGTGTTGTGGGGAGAGAAGGGAGATGTCTCTTCTGAACGTGTGCCTGGAACAATTTACCTTTGTTTGGCTGTGATTTGGTGATAAATGAGTGAACAGGAAGATTTAAACACGTGGCAGAGAAAAGCCAACAGCAGGAGGATGCTTGTGGAAAAGCTTGGAGAGGCAGCAGGGTGAGCAGCCTAGGAGAGGGCAGGAGATGAGGGCAGGAGATGAGGGCTTGCTCTGCTCCATGCCGTGGGTACTCACTGTCTGTAGTTGTAGGCGATATCTGCAAACTCCTTCCTCCGGGCCCGGTACACGGGATCTTTGAACCCCTGCAGAGAAACACTGATGCTCAGTCCATGCAAAATGGACGGTAAGGGCAAAAGGTGAAGAGCCTTGCTCCTAGTGAGCACCCTCAGGCATGGCTGGTGCATCCCAGAAGGGCAGCAAGGTCAGTGGGTGTGACCGTGTTCACAGGGGTCCAAGGATGAGGGAAGAGACGAGGATCTGACTCCATCTTTCAGCAGGCTGATTTATTATTTTATTATATATATTATATTAAAACTATACTAAAAGAATAGAAGGAAGGATTTCACCAGGAGGCTAGCTAAGAATATAAATGGAAGAATTATAACAAAAGCTTGTGTCTCGGACACAGGGTCCGAGCCAGCTCACTGTGATTGGCCATTAATTAGAAACAATTCTATGAGACCAATCACAGATGCACCTCTTGTATTCCACAGCAGCAGATAACCATTGTTTACATTTTGTTCCTGAGGCCTCCCAGCTTCTCAGGAGAAAAAATCCCAAGGAAAGGATTTTTCAGAAAATATCATGGCTACAGGTGGGAAAGCTGCCTCTGCTCTGCCAGGCTGCACTCAGCCAGGGCAGCGCTCCCTTCCTGGGCTGCCTCCCTGAGCAGCCACAGTCTCTCACCACCCCTGCCCCATAAATCCTTTCTTTTTCTCATTTCCACTTCCTATAAGATAGGGAAACGTTCCTTTACAATAACGACAAGGTGCTCCTGGCAAGCGCAGCCCAGAATTATCAGTACTTGGATAACCATGCCCTTCTGGTTTCCCTTGAAGCTTGTTGCTGTGCCTGGCACAGCCGAGCTGCTCTAGAGAACCAGAATCAAAACACATTAGAAACACATTCATCAACTCAATCGGACCTTTTAGGCAGATTTTCAGCATGAACCACACTTAAAAGTGCTCATTTTCAAACTGCTGGAGGATCAGTAGCCACTTAGCAGGCCAAAACCCCCTATTTGTCGTACAAATGCAACCATTTGAAGGCAATTAATGACTACAAAGAATGTCTAATAGACCTTGTGGCTGGGAGCTTGACCTTTGCAGCTAATTAGCAATAAAACCAAGGATAAGAAATAAAACCCTTAAATCTTCATCTGGGATAACCCTTCTCCCACCCCAGTGTGCCTGATGTTTGGACTAAAAGATCCTCAGGAGCAGGAGTGCCTTCACCACCTGGAGTGCAGAAACATCCTCCCTTCCAAGCTAGGATGCCCTTCTGCAGGGCAAACAGGAACAGCTCCCTGGGCACTGCAGCATAAATGCAGTGATCCAGAGATCCATAAATGCATCTCCTAGTGGTCAATGGCACAACTGGTCTGAGGGGCCACAAAACACAGCCAAGTACAGGAGGCAGCTGAAGTGGAGTGTAAATTCATGGGTGTGAATCAAAAAGGGACAGCCAATGGCCAAAAAAATGCACTGTCCAAGGTTAACCTGTCATGGAGGTCATTGTGATTAAATTCCACGCATCACACTACTAAAAACACAGGCTCCTTTAATTTCTCTTTTTCTACACTCTATGGACTGTCACCTATTTACCCCAGCAGCTGGCTTCCTTTTTTAAGGCACAAGTGCTCACTAACTAATTCTAGGAACTGGAGGAAAGACACTTCATTTCTTTTTATATATTTTTCTTTTCTTTTTTTTTTCTTGGTTCTTTTTTCAAATGCAATCCTGGTCTATTCCCACATGACACACAAGGGGGCCATTGGCTCAGTGTACTCCCTTTCATCCTGCCTCTCATATGACCACAGTGAACATCATGAATCATTGTGCATGGTACATAACACGTCTTGAATTAAGCAATAGGTAGTGAATGACTAATCACCCCATCTCAATTAAACTAATAGCAGCAATTTTTGGTGCACTGCATGTAATTTATTTATAATCACCCTATCTCAATTAAACTAATAGCAGCAATTTCTGGTGCACTGCATGGAACTCAGTGTGTTTTGACAAATGAAAGTAAGTTGTTGTTTGCTTGGAGAGGGAATAGAGGCAGAAAATATTCTTGTATGTGAACAAAACTGAAAAACCACAAAACAATTTTTTTTTATCAGCTAAGTCAATGAACAAAACTTTCTGATGCATTGAAACCATAAACTTTTTGAACCAAGAACATTTTCTTTTGTCATGTCTCACCTTAAAAGTACCATGTCAGATTTAGTATCCACATAACAATACACTGAGCTAAATCATGTGTATGTAATCAAGAATCAAAAAAGTCTTTCTTTCTCTGTGCTATGCCATGTTGCTTCTTTTCCTAGTTAGTGATGCACAAAGTGAGCCTGAAATCACTGCATCAGAGCCTCCTGGGAAGATTAGATGTGTCCTTGTGGTGGCCTTGTGCTCTGAAAACCACCACAATTTTTAAGATCTGCTGCCATTTGCTCAATTATAGCAACCTTTGGTTTGATTTACTCCATAAGAGGGATTGGGCTGATTGTAACCCCAGAAATGTGGTGGCCTTCTTGTCCTGTACCATGTGAAATTTAGTCTATTAGATCTATATTAAAAAAGAGCAAATTTAAGTGAGAGAAACATCACTGCCAATAAGTAGAAAAATTGCTAAAAATAATTCTTACAGGATGATCAGCATCCAATTCTGCTCCATAGCTTAGGATCTGATTGGCAAACCTGTCCAGCTCCTGGATACTTCTTGGGAACCACGGTACTGCAAAACAGAAAAGAAATAGAGACTGGTATCCTTTGTTACTTGATTTTTGGCCTCCTTCTGATATTTTCATCTTTTCATCATATATATAAAGAAACATAGGCAAGGGGCTAAGTTCTTTCAATCCTTTTGCCCATAATCAAAACAAGAACAAACCAAGCAAGTTGTCTTGAATTTGTGATTGTTTCACACTGTTGGGAGAATACAGAACATCAAGAACATCTGAACCTTGGTGCAGAGCTGCCTTGAAAGGTTTATGATTTTCTTTATATTAATTCTGGTGTCTTGGCTTATCAAAATGAAAAAAAAATATTCACAATAAGCCAGAATCATCCCCTTCAAAGAAATTGCAAGAAACTCCACAACAAGGATAAAGAATTTTTGGGCTGTCTGAAACACACTTTCTTTGACCTACTTGGTGACCCACTTGTGCTAGGATTCTGAAACAAATGACAAATGGCATCCTAATACCTCACACTAGCATTATATTACTGAAGTCATTACAAAATAATGCATTAACTTGATTAATTTTCTTGGTCTGGTAACTTGTAACTCATTTGCTCTACCCACTGTCCCAGGCACAGCCATGTGAGAAGGGACCATGGTGAGCACACAGAGCATAATGCCCTTGTGACCCTCTCATTACAGGATATAAGGTGCAAGACAATGAAGAATCACAGGGATTTCCAGATGTGATATGTTGAGATAAAAAAAGAGTAAGTCAAGCATCTTCATGGCAATTCAATACAGGGGACTGAGCAGGGGCAGCCTCTATCAGTAAAAAGTTTGCAATTCCTCGAGAGACTTTCTGGTGGAAAATGGGTGTTGCTTGCCCAGCCAGTGCTTGGCAAACAGCTGATTCCCCTCTGTGGCTCTCTGCTCAGCTGGGAGCTCTGCTGCCGGGCCATACCTCCCCATCTTAATTTGGGGGCTGTGCCAAGTGAACCTGATCCTGGGACAGCAGCTGCTGAATGAGTTCCCTGCAGTGCCCTGGGGATGGGGCTCATCCCAGACCCGATGGACCACCTGCAGGATAAGAGGATCTCTGTCTCCAGGACTATCCAGCTTTGTGCCGAGCCTCACAGCACGGAGGGCACTTGTAGCACACTGGGTTTCTGCAAGGCACCTGCACAGAGGCGCTGCAGCAGCAGCAGCAGCAGCTTTACAGGGCTCGATTTGGGGCCCTAGGCAGAGAGAGAGAGCCCACACCCCGGATTCTGTCCCATCCCAGCCTGGCTCCGTGCTGGCAGCCTGCACATTTGTTCGCTTGAGCATCCCGGGATGCAGGGACCCGCTCAGCCGTGCCTCCCCTTCCCCGCCCGGCAGAAGGGGGATTTGGTCCGCCCCTCTCCAGGATGCTCTCGCTTCTCCTTGCCCTGAAATCCAGACCTGAGCGAGTCACTAGATGGCAGCAGCAGACCCGGGAAGGTCCGCAGATGGGTTTCTGTGCTGCTGGATATACCACTGGTTATCCTACTTGCTCCAGAAACACTCTCTCCCCTCGCTGCCAGAAAGTTTTCTGCACCCTCAACCCCTTCATTTAAACTAGTCACAGGGGAGAGTAGAAAAAGGTGTGTTTGATCTATAGAGAATGGTCACTAATTACACCATATTCTGCCCATTTTCTGTCTGGGTTTGTCTCCTGGCTGTATCACTGAGCTTTGTGTGATGATGGGGAACTGCTCCAGTGTTTTGTGCTTCACACTCCCTACTACCAGCCTGGGGTGAGGCACACTGGTAAAGGTTTTGTGTTAGGCACTGGGGAAAAAATGCTTCCTGGTAGCCCCACAGCAAAGGATTGGTCAGTGTTAGAGAGAAAACCACTCCTCTCAGGGATGCACCATGGCCTGGAGAGTCCAAGCTGTGTAGAAAAATTGGTGGGGGCTGAAGTCTGTGCTGGATTTTGGCAGAGATGTCTGTAGGGCTTTGCTGGCCTGAATCAAAAAGGTCTCGCTGGGCCAGGTTTGAAACATTGCTGCCTTACTTTGCATACAGACTTATTTCATTAAATATCCTATTCTCAAGATTGCAGTAGTACTTGGTGCAGAACTCATTAAAGACTCGAGGAAAAACTGACTCCAGGCTGATGTGGTGTCAGCCCTGGGTGTGGAGATGGGTGATTTGATTTTTCCCTAAACAGGAGAAGCAACTTATCTTCCTGGCACCAAGCCCTGATCCTGCCGGCCCAAACACCAGCAGGGGCTAAATGAGAGCAGCTCTGAGCTTGCAGAGCTGGATGGACATGGCAGGCTGTGGAAGGGAAATCCCAAGGAGACTTAGTGCTGCTTGCACCATCCCAGGTTGTTAGGTTGGGTCCTGGAAAGTGCTGAGCTCTCTCAGCTCTCATGGAAACAAGAATGAAAGACTCTGAGCACAGTTCTGGGGCAAACACTGCACCAAGTCCATACAGCCCTCACACTGAGGCCCAGGGTGAAAAAAGGCTACTGGTGGGTCTTCTGCCTAGATGTGACGTGCCAGGACACTGTCCCCAGCCCTCCCAGAAACTATTCAAAAGATGAAATCAAATTAGCCCCTGGCTGAATCTATCCCACGTTTTGTTTGCAGCACCCTCCTGCAGCCAGACTCGCTGTCTGTCTGTCTGCACAGCCATTAATGAGCTGCCAGGGCCAGCTCCTGCAACACTGGGCCTCTGTCAAGGTCTGAGGAGCCAACGTGGGCTGATCAGCAATAAATATTGATTTGTCTGTAAGTGAAATAGCAGCATTTAGGGGATGGTGCTGGACACCCAAGTGGTGACCAAATTACCGTGGGGTCAAACGCTGAGCAGAATGCTAATGAGCCATTTAAATGAGAGGCAGCAGAGCAGGACTTGTGCAGAATCCTCCACTTGGACCATTGTGAGGAGGGTCAAAGACAGGTCTATGCAATTTATAGCAGTTCAAGGCCCAGGTTTAGCCCTTTTTTAAACACTCTCAAATGCTCTGGCTAGCCTCAGGGTCTGGCAAACAAGGGCCCTACAGATCCTCAGCCCCCAGCTTGTTTCAGAAATGCAATAAATTGTCTGCATTTCCCTAATGCTGCAACAGAATAATATTTAATTATTTTTATTCATGGGCTCCAAGTGGACTGCAGCTACCATCTTGTTCCCAAAAAGAGCCACTAGGAGATGCACTGTGTTTTTACAACAAATCTTTCCACATACACAAAGAACTTTTGGCTCAGCAGCTGCCAGCCCTTCTCATCTGAAGCTCCAAAGCTACATTTGGATTTAGAGCACTTTGCTGGCCTGCTCTCGCCTAAAATAATACTGCTGATCCAAACCTGATATTTGTAACTATTGGAATTTGTCAATTAAATGTTGCATTGAGAAAAGATACTAAAAGCAGTTAAAGTGACAAAGGAAATGAAAGGAAAGGGAAAAGGGAAAAGGGAAAAGGTCATTCACTTATCCCTTGCCCAATAAATCACATACACGCCATGTTTAACATACATATAATATATGTATGTTAAACATACATATATTTATATGTTAATATACAGAAGGGACAGAATACAGAAATTTCCTCTGAGTGCCAACAAAGCAGTGCCCCAAAAAAGGGACTGTGTTCTTTCCAGAGGAAACAGAAAACTAAGGTTTTTCTTTCTCAAATCATGAGCAGGAGCAAAATGAATCCTTTGCAGGGAAGAAATGACAGCATTCTAGGCTGCAGCAAAAGAATCAGTCCCATGGGATCCCAGATTGCCCCTGGAAGAAAACCTTCCCAGCCTTTACCTGCCCACTGAGACAAGTGTGGCAACATCCCCATAAACCATCTGTCTGAGACTGTGCTCCCTGGAGGCACAGCGCCCTTGTTCTGTGATTTGGGAATAAGATTTCACACAGGCACATCTGTGGACTAGGACCAGATTTGCCAGGAGGATTCATTTGAAAGACAAGCTGGCCCAAAAGGCACCACAAGGCCTGTTATTTGTTAGTGCCATCCCTGATAAAGGACAGCATCTCACCACACTTCCTGCAGCTCGGGCTGCTCCCATCTCTCTCTGCCCTTGCAGTGCCTCTGCCCAGGATTTGCCACCCACAGTTCATCCCCTAAGCAGGGCTCGTTTGACCTTTCAAAATATGGCCCTTGGAGGATTTCAGTTTGACTGGATCCTTATTGCTCATGAGAGGAATTGAAATTGAAAAAAAATGAGAAAAGGCAAGAAGAAATATCAATCTTCCTCTGTCTCCCTGGCAATAAATTGTTCCCATTTTATAATATTTCTGAATTGTTGAAACTAACAAACACAAGTTATCCTCTCAGACAGAAGAGGATCAAATCCTTTTTTGAAGCTGACAGGATAATCTAGCTCAAAAACTCCTTTGATCAACAGAGTAACATGCAGTGAAATCCTAATCCTACAGCTGACCACAGGAGTTTTGATTTCTGTGAGGTCAGAATTTCACATGCATGACTTTCCTGCATGATATTTAGAGCTGTATCTCTGTCTGACTCTGGCATATGTTTATAGACAACTTTATTATTTCATAAACTTCTTTATTACTTTCTTCATACTAACTAGAGAAATGAATGTTAAGCCCTGGTAGGTCCTGTAGCTTTATTCTGGAAATAAAAAAAGCCCCCAAAAGTGAACCTCTTCGATCTGACATGATCATAAATCACCTAATCAACCTTTTGTCCCTTTGTCTATGAATGGAGAAAACTGACTCCAAAGAGAATCTGCCTTCTCCTTTTTCATCTTCAAATGTAATGTCATGGGTAGGACACAAAGGAAACGGTAAAAGGATTACCAGTACTGATCTCAAGAAGGTATTAATGTCCTTTCATGTTGTTCCTAGGAAGGAAGAGGAAGATCCAGGCCTAAAGTATTTAAAGTCTGAAATCCTATTAAAATCACATCTGTTATCTGAAGAGGCATTCAAGTCTGTCTCAGACTATCTGCCAGGCAGCCACCACTGCACCAAGCAGCCTCAACTCCAGCAAATCTCTGAGAATTAGGAGCGGGAGCAACTCAAAAAAATCTTTCCTTTTTTCCCTCCAAAGGCAGAACTGCAATTCCCTGGGATTTCTTACAGTAAGGGAGAGTTAGTCCTGTTCCCACCAAAACGGGTGGCAGAGCCTCCCTAGTTTCACAGGAGACTTAGAATCATGGCAAAAATTTACACTACAAAAAATCCCAAATGAAAAAGTTAACAGTACAGGGAAAATAGAGACAGGAAAAATAAGTAATTTCAGTATGTGGCATAAATAGTCCATGTCAGTGTTAACCTTGTCAGCATTTCCTTACCAGTGTCCTTCTTCTTTGTTCGTGAGAGCTCATGGACTGTTGCTCCAATGTCAGTTCTCAAGGACTTGATGATCTTGTCCAGTGCTGGGACATTCTTGCCTTCCAAGTTAATGAAGAATTCATACTCATCTTTGTTGAGACGGGAAGGTCGGGACTCAATGTGGGTCAAGTTTATTCCTTTTTCCTATGAGAAAGAGAAATTTTGGTCCTGCAGTTTTTGGGGGAAGGGATATGACATAAAGACTGGATAAACACGGGTCAGTCAACAAACCATGTTGTACCATGCAAATAACTCAAAAGCAGCCACTGGACTTGAGGACTTTCACAGCAGAGAGAGAAGCAGAAAGGAAGAATGAGAAATATGTGGGATTCACCCTTGTACAGAGCTTCAGCACGAGGATTGGGCACTGCTGAAGGCTTAGAGAAAGGTGGAAGCAGGATACTGTCGCAGACATCTTTTCATGAAAAATCCTTTCTTTGGGATTTTTTCTCCTGAGAAGCTGGGAGGCCTCAGGAACAAAATGTAAATAATGATTATCTGCTGCTGTGGAATGCAACAGGTGCATCTGTGATTGGTCTCATGTGGATATTTCTAATTAATGGCAAATCACAGCCCAGTTGGCTTAGACACAGAGCCCAAGCCACAAACCTTTGTTATCATCCCTTCCTATTCTATTCTTAGCTAACCTTCTGATGAAACCTTTTCTTCTATTCTTTTAGTATAGTTTTAATATAATATATATCATAAAATAATAAACCAAGCCTTCTGAAACATGGAGTCAGATCCTCGTCTCTTCCCTCATCCAAGAACCCCTGTGAACACAGTCACAGGGTACAGGCTGTAAACAGGTTTTTTATTGCAAATGGCAACTGCAGTCCCTCAAGCACATAATGAGAGCTCGTCTGTGTTGACAGAGACATTTCCCCAGCACCAACACAGGAAGAAGGCATTCCACCTGTGGAGTGCCCTCTCATGGGAAACTGAATGCTGTCCTGATGAGCATCCTGAGAGAAGACTGGATGAGCAGGCAGCTGGGCACCCTGTGAGATCAGCTTCTGCCAAACCTCTGCTCAGTCACCTGCAAAGCCACCTGCACAGCTCCCAGGGCTGCCAGCAGCTGTTGGGCAAAGATCCAAAGGGAAGCATGGATCCACACTAAAAAAGGCAGCCCAGGTTTGGGCAAGTAAAAAGATGGGTGTTTTAAATCACAGGATCACAGAGGTGGTGAGGCTGAATGGGGGGGGGGGGGGCTTCTGGAGATCAGCAAGTACAATAATCTGCTCAGGTTGCCTGAGCATTGCCCAGGGCTGTGTCCAGTCAGGTTTGGAGACTCCTCAGTTTCTCTGGGCAGCTGCTCCCAAGTCTAGTCACCCTCACAGAGAAGGATTATTTTCTTTAGCACAGAAATTCAAGTTCTGTCTCACCAAATATCTTTGCTGACCATCAGCAGTGTCTCCTAGCCCTGAAGAAAGAGATCACTGGGAGCTATAGCATTGACAACTATAGCCAGTGGAACCTGACCTCAGACATGCTGCCATGTTGATGTGTAAGCAACAAACAGCTAAAAATCCTATTTTTCCAACAAAAAGCAAAGAAAAAGTCCAGGAAAACCAAAAATGTTTGGGGAAAAAAACCCCAGAAAGCCCAAAAGAAAAGTCCAGGAACATCTACCCCTGTTAACTGAACTCAAATGTTGTCTTGAGCACTATAATTTGAATATGAAAATACTGCTTTCCTTCCTTTTTTTTTTTTTTTTTTTGAGAAAATCTTTTAAACGGGTTTCCATGGATATTGATTCTGTCCCCTGACCATCTTGTCAGGCTCACACTGGTGCTACAGACACAGCATATCATGGCCAGGTCTGGGCTTCTGTCCCCTGGGAGGAATATACAAACCCCTGGAGGAAATCTGGGCCTGAAGATCACAGAATCGTTACCCTAAGAAAAGTCTGAGGCGATGACATGTGGTGATCAGCATCCCTAGAGAAATTTTGGTTTTTATTTCAAGCTGAAGAAGACTCCAAACTACATGGGGTGAAGTGCTGGCCCTGCTGGTGTCAATGTCAAACCCCTTGCTACAGTGGGGTCAGGATTTCATCCACAAAGTAATGCTGTTAGGATCTACTTTTGACCTACAAGGAAGAAAAATGAAAGATTTTTTAACTGTACATCCTTCTTTCTGAGCCTCTTTAGGGTTTTCTTTGCTCCTCTCAGTGCTTGCATAGTGCAGGAGGGCATCTGGCCATCAGCAGCAAAGGCCTGATTTACTCCTCCACAAAAGGCAGTTTATTCCTTGATAGGAAACATATATGTCACTGCTCTGTTTCCTGAGCATTGCACACTACAGATGAACTCAAATTGTTTGGCTAGATACCAATACAATAAGTTGAAAAGGTCAAAAGCTCATTCACCAACTGCTGCTCTCAAGAGATGCCATCCTCACAGGGCTGTCTGTCCAGGGAGAGAATGGCCAGCACTGTCCCTGGCCCTGGGGACAGTTTGTTTTAGGCCTCCAAAGCCCTGCTTCCCACACAGACTGCCCATTGTGCTGTCCCTGTGCTGAGGCACTGGGAGCTCCTGACAGAGAGCAGGCACAGGGAGCTGCTGTGCCTTCGCTGTGTCTCATCATCCTCATCCTAAAAGTTTTCTTTCTTATGCCTGCCCTGGCATCTACATATCTGCACTCTTTTGGCTTAAAACCATCATCCCATGTGCCATCAAAAACAGCCTTGCAGAAAAACTCTGTCCCAATCTGTCACAGACATCTTTTATGATCCTTTCCTTAGGATTTTTCCTCCTGAGAAGCTGGGAGGCCTCAGGAACAAAATGTAAACAATGATTATCTGCTGCTGTGAAATGCAACAGGTGGATCTGTGATTGGTCCGTGTTGGTTGTTTCTAATTAATGGCCAATCACAGTCAGCTGGCTCGGACAAAGAGTCCGAGCCACAAACCTTTGTTATCATTCTTTCCTATTCTATTCTTAGCTGGCCTTCTGATGAAATCCTTTCTTCTATTCTTTTAGTATAGTTTTAATATAATATATGTCATAAAATAATAAATCAAGCCTTCAGAAACATGGAGTCAGACCCTCATCTCTTCCCTCATCCTAAGACCCCTGTGAACACAGTCATATCCATTCTTACAGGACCCCTCTGAGAACTGGAAGGCCACGATAAGTTCACCCCAGCACCTTCTCTTTTCTGGGCTGAAGACTCCTTAAACTCCCTTTGTTTTTTGACTCTTCTGCTGCACCAGTTCTCCAGTCAGGCTCAGTGAGCAGCTGGACAGACAGCAATGCCCCCAAAATAAACAGAATTATGCAAGGATTGGGAATTAAGAGATAAGCTGCAGGGTGGGCATGGGACACACTTAAAGTAGCAGGAGTATCAATACCCCTCAAACTATCACAGCCTAAGACAGTGAGAAAAAGAGGGGAAAAAAGAAGATGGAGGAAGGAGCCCATGGGGAGAGTTACCTCCTTTCTTACACCTGAGAGAAGCAGAACACCTTCCCACAGAGTGTCAAGCTGCTTTGCTGTTTATTTGAGGGATATCTGCCACCCAGCGACATCCAGAGCCAGCCTGTTACCTCTTTCTGCTGAGGTTTCTGGTCCTCAGAACAGAGACACTGAAGGGAGAACCCTTCTGGTGACTGTTTATAGAGCAAGAATCCAGCAGCATATGTCCAACTCCCTGAACTGGCACTCCTGGAGAAGCGTGTTCTCATGTGCTGTGCCTTGCTACTAAGCCCTTGATTTCAAAATATTTACAGCGGCTCTGTTACTAGACTTGCTTTATAAATCTCAATTTCATTCTAGTCCAACTACTCCATCTAGTGTTTAATCCTCATAGTTTCACATTGTTCATTTTTAGTATCCTTGATGTTGCCAGATCTTGCTATTGCATCACATTTCTCCCAATAGATGATGTTTTCTTTAAAGCTGCAACTTCTGGAGACAAATAGTTGCCTGAGAAAGGAGAATGGGGGCATTTTTTTTGTTTAGTTGTACATTTTAAGCAGTTTACAATCTCTATCTGCTCTTTAGTAGAGATTGACATCTTGACAATGTATGCCTTCAAAAGTCAGCTATTAAAAGTTATTCCAGTTTTATGAGCTTTGTTGATGGAACCTAACTCCTAACCTAACACCTTTGGAAGATCTCAACTGTCACATGTTTGTGGTGGGTTCCCATCTGAGCTATTAACATGGATCTCCTCTGCCTTTCCTATTTTAGAGCCCAGATGAGTCCATGGAATGAGATTAGATGTGTCTTTGCTGAGTTCACCCCACCATTCCCTGCAACTGCAAGGAACTTGGAGAGCAGGTTGGTACTTCTCCCCTTCTCTTCAGATTTATGACCCAGGGGAGAGGTTGAGTCTCTCCTCTATAGATACATCCTGTCATAAAACCATGTGCCTGCTGTATTTCTTTTCCTTAAACTTTTCTTAAAACCCCCACTCTGAGGGGTAGAAAAACTCAGCTTTCATTATTTTAATATCCAAGCCAATGATACCTCTATCACTGCCCGTTAGAGAAGGAAGTCTCAAGATACATTTTCAGAGCTCAAAGATGAATAATGAGGTTGAAATGGATTAGAATTACTTCTAACAGGGTTTGAAGGGGGAGAAACACAAATATCAATTTAAAACAGAGACAATGGTGGATGCAGGGAGGAAATTGCCCATGTCCCTCCCTGCCTTACCTCTCAGTGATGGATCTCAGCCTTGGCTCCCTCTGAGAGTCTGTGAAGCAGCTCCAGCCCCTTGCCCAGGTTATTCCAGGTTTTCCATCCCAATTGAGCACCACCTATGGTGCCCCACACCAGCAGGAGAAAACCAGACTGGTGCTGCACTACACCAGCGGTCTTGCTGAGGTCACTACCAAGAGAATTTAGTCCCACCCTCTGTTTAATGGCCTGGTCACTGGAAAAGGAAAGTTGTGTGCTCACAGCTACACAGGGAAGCTTTCAGTAGGGATAGATCCTTTCTGAAAATGTTATGGGTTACTACTTCCCATGACACTCACACATCCTTCTGTTCACTAATTACTAAATGCTCCTATGTATGCTTCTAAAACTAAGTACAGCTGTGAAATCCAGCTGCAGCTTGTTTTCATGACTGTTGCCATTAATGAAGTTTGGCTTCATCAGGAGACCCCCCGTTGTCACCAGATGAAGAACTTT